GCCACCTCCACCCCCTGACTCACTTAAGTGAGCCACCCAGCTTATGGGTCAGTGTCAATGCCTCCAAGACCTGTGCTGGCTCCTTGCCCCGCCCCCCCCAGGCCATTACACATACCTTCCCCCACCCTGAAAACCCAAGTGGGAGGGGCAGCTATTGGGGTGGTGCAATCAAAAATTATAACTCAAAGCAGGGGCTCAGCTCAAAAAGTTTGAAAACCACTGCTCTAAGTCCTTACTTCCAGGCTGTATTTAAGAATTGCAGATTCTTTCTGCATAGCATCTTGAAGTTACAGCCTTTCCTATCCATTCACACAGCTAAAACTCTCATCCATCTCATGTCTCGATTACTGCAATAACCTTCTCTCTGGCCTTTTAAAATGCACTCTTGTCCACTCATATCCATTGAGAATGCTGTGTAAAGAATTTTCCCAGCCCATCACTTTGATTATGCGATACTTCTCTTTGCATCCCTCCACTGGCTCCCTCTTTATCTATCATATCAAATGTAAGCTACTTGTTCTTCCTTTCAAGGCCCTTCATGACCTGTCTCTACCTTACCTATCATCTGTAGTTCAGTATCAAAAGGTCAACCCCCCCCCATCTCCATGATGCATGATTCCATTATCTACTTCTTAAATTATCTACTTCTCAGGCCTCCTGCTCAGGGCCGGTGGAGGGTCCGGGGCTCTCCACAGAGGCCCAGGCTCCCGGGGTGAATCTTAACATAGCCTAGGGTGAGCATACTTCCTGTTTTGGCCAGGACAGTTCCCCTTTTTAAGCCCTGCCCATGACGTCCCAACTTTTTTGGCAAACTGGCCATTTGTCCCATTTGCTGTTCCCAACTGATGGCCCTGCAGATGACCAGTTGGCAAGAGCAAATGGGACAAATGACCAGTTTTGCCAAAAAGGGTCTTGCGGGGGGGGGGGGGGGGAAGCATGTGAGCGGCAGGGCTTGGGCCAGCTCCGTGTGAGAATGGGGGGGGGGGGGAAATCTGGTCACCCTACCACAGCCCAACTCCAGCTTCCAGCCTGGCCGGGAGTGGGGCCCTCAGGGGTAGAAAAGGAGGAGCAGCGGGTGGGGCCACAGTTCCGGCACCATTGGCTCTTCCACTTCTATATGGATTCCGGTGCTCCTGCAGGGGTCCCCAAATTAGCTGTGGACCCTGGGCCCCGTGAGCCTGTGCGTTAATCCATCACTGGGTCCAGCAAACTCTTTGCATAGCTGAGCCAAAGCTCCAAACATGACTACATTTGTTTCCACAATACAAGGCACCTCGTTTGGATATCTGATGGACATACAGATCAAACAACAGTGTCTCTCTCTTTCTCAGTTCCAACCACATCCTTTAGGAATTTTAATTTCACTAGCACACATCCCAGGGCTGGGTACTGGTTATCTCCTAACCCCCATATGGCCAACCTGGATAGGAGCTGCAGGGACTAATGAGTCTGATGCTGCTGGTAAAATGGTTTGTAGATGATAAGTGACCTGAGAGCCATTATGTAGAACTGTGGTACATTCCATTCCCCCAATATTCACTCCAATCTAAGACTTTGATCTCCACAGGCCTACAGTCAAGCCTGGCATAGCTAGAGGCAAAAACTCAGCCTTCACGTTTTTGAGTTGGGGGAAGGTGTTTAGGGGACCCAAGGTGCTCCCTTACCTGGTCTCTCTGAAGCTTCCCACGGTCTTAGTGATGTAGAGGGCCTTAAATATTTCCTCAATCCTGAACCAACCCACAGGATTTGGACATCCATGTAGGTAGTGCCCATCTTCTCCACACCAATAACAGAAACGCATGGTCTCCAAGAGGCAGGGGTTTTGCCAGCCCCTATCATTTTCTTGATCCCTGCCTCTCTGGTACAGCTATCCACCTTGTGTTTGCTCTTGGGGGCTGAGTTACTCGGCCTCTTGCAGTGGAAGCATTACACTGTTAATTTAACAGCTGTAAAGAGTTCATAGAATTGGGAAGAGGGTGCATTTATTTCATTTTAATTGCACTGCCCTGACAGGGGCCAGTCTCCCAGGTGCTCTCGTATTAGGATAACCACTGCATACAGCACACTTGTTTGCATTTCCTAGAAGAAAGCCTGGAGATGGCCATTCTGGCCCATATTTAAGATGGAAAATATACAGTGGAAGAATGTGAAGAAATGAAGTAGTCCGATAAAGGATGGATGAGCTAAGATACGCTATTCTTGTGAGAATTTGGAGGAGCCCACATCCCATGACATAAATATCAGGAGCATTACTAGTAGCCCCTCAAATGCATTCACCCTGCACTAGGAGGAATCAGTGTCAGAGACAAGAACGTACTCCATGAGGGAAATGTAGTGTAATGGTTTATTGCTAAAGAAAAGTCAATTTGAATTTGCCATTCACGCTCCTCCTAGACTCTCGGTGCAGAGTGAGAGAATCAGCAGTGGCACGTTTATCATTTCAGCAGCTGTCCCTTCTGCTTCTGGTGGCTCCTTCTAGTATTGCTCTCTCCCTTTTCCTTCCTTCAGTGCATTGCCATTTCCCTCATGGTGTTCCTCTCATACACTTTTCCCTATGTCCACCTCATTTTTCCTCACTGCCTAGTTTCTGTGCTTCCCTGTCTCCTCATCCCCCTCCTGTCACTATACTTTCTTCAGACCCTTTCCCTTTTCCGAACACCTGCCCATTTCTGCCGGTCGTTCCCACATGCCACTAACAACAGATCTGGAGTTGGATTCCAATACTCCCTCTCTTCTCCTCTTAAAGGAATATCACCTAAACTCTGCCAGAGTTTCCACAGCAGTAGAGAGAAGATTCATGTGTTGCATCCCACTGCACGTCCTCATAGTCACATAACTGTGGCCTCCCGTACTTAGGCATAATGGGCCCAAAGGCCACAGAAAGACACTGTAGAAAAAGATACTTGACCTTCCTTTGTGACTCCATTCAAGCCAGCTGGCAAAAAACAAAGCAAAAAGTGGGTGGTAAAGCAGAGGGTTTGTTTACAGTGTAGAAAGCTCAGCCAGATTAATTTTTTCCAAAAGGAAATTGTACAGTTGCCTTCAGCCTCTGTGGGACTCTTTGCCAAAGGATGTTGTGAAGGCCAAGCAGAGCTGTCCCTCGGGTACGGTGAATCAGGGTGACTGCCTTGGGCCTCACACTTTGGGGGGCCCTACAGGCGGGGAGGTGAGGCGGGCGGGGTGAGGAGGCGAATGCGGGGGCAAGCAGCCCCCTATTAGAACCTCCCCCCAGTGCCTCCTGCCCACCGGTGGGCCGCACCCATCAGCACCTCCCCCTCCCTCGCAGCACCTACCGCGGATCAGATATTTTGTGGTTTCAGGAGGCGCTGGAGGAGAGGTCAGAGAAGCGAGGGTGCAGCGTGCTCAGAGGAGGGGATGGAATTGGGCGGGGAAGAGGCGGGTCGGGAAGAGGTAGGGCGGTAGCAGGAAGAGGCGGGGTGAGGCCTTGGGGGAAGGGGTGGAGTGGGGCGGGGCCTGAGCAGAGCCAGGTGGAGATAGGCACCGAGTTTCTAATGTCCCGGGTCTCGCAGCCTCCTAGGGACGGCCCTGGGGCCCAGACCGTAACAGCGTTCAAAAAGAACTAGATAAGTTCATGGAGGATAGGTCCACCCATGGCTATTAGCCAGGATGGGTAGGGATGGTGGCCCTACCCTCTGTTTGCCAGAAGCTGGGAATAGGCGACAGGGGATGGATCACTTGATGATTCCCTGTTCTGTTCATTCCCTCTTGGGCACCTGGCATTGGCCCCTGTCGGAAGACAGGATACTGGGCTAGATGGACCATTGGCCTGACCCAGTATGGCCGTTCTTATGTTCTTAGGGTTTGTTTACAATGTAGAAAGTTCAGCTAGATCTATTTTTTTTTCAAAGGAAACTGTAAAGTTGCCTTGAATCTGTATGTCAGGGATGGGGAACCTTTTTTCTATCAGGGGCCATTGACCCATAAGAAAAAAAAAGTCAGTTACAGGCCACACACAGCCCCATGGGGGGGTGGGGATAGGGGCGCAGAGGCTTGGGGCTTCCCCCACAGCAGGGCAAACCAGCACTTGCAGCTCCAGCCCCGCAGGGGGATACGGAGACTCAGGGCTTCCCCTGGGTTCTGGAGTGGGGCCAGAAATGAGGGGTTCAGGATGTGGGAGGGGAATCTGGGCTGAGGCAGGGTGTTGGGTGCAGGAGGGGGTGAGGGTTCTGGCGATGAGGGGTTTGATGTGCAGGAAGAGGCTCCAGGCTGGGGTTGAGGGGTTTGGAAAGCAGGAGTGGGCTCACGGCTGGGACAGGGGGTTGGGGGGTCTGGAAGGGAGTTAGGGTGCGGGAGGGGGTTCCCACCTGGGGCAGGGAGCTCAGGGTGTAGGCTCCGGCCGGGCAGCGCTTACCTCAGGAAGCTTCCAGGTGGCAGCGCAGCGGGACTAAGGTAGGCTCCCTGCCTGCCCCGGCTCCGTGCTACTCCCGGAAGCGGCTGGCCTGTCCAGACCCTAGGCGGAGGAGCGACCAGGCAGTTCTGCCAAGCTGGTGCTGGAGCAGCACACGGAGCTTCCCGGGCCACAGAGACATGCTGACTGCTTCCGGAACTTGCGCGGAGCTGATCAGACTTTTAACAGGCTGGCAACCCTAGCTTCCCCCCGCAGAACGAGACAGCGCTCGCGGCTCCAGCCCCGCGGTGGGGTGCCGAGGCTCGAGGCTTCAGGCCTGGAGACTTGCCGCGGGCCGTAGGTTCCCCACCCTTGCGGTATACATAATGGGTGCAATGCAGCTGTCATTCCAGTCTCTTGTCTGCTTTAAAAACTAGGTTAATACAATGTATAAAGAACAAGACTTTTTAGCCAAGCAAAAGTGGTCTCACGTTAGGAAACATCAAGCTGGAAGAAATGTTCCCTTCAGTGCTCTGGGACATGAGCATCAGGCTAAACAGTGAAACATGTAATAGCTACCCTAGTCCAGGACAGCAAGGTCTCTTGCTTTTTCTTCCTTCTGTACAAGAACAGGTAAAAGGACACAGTCAGATATCAGGCAACTTTTCATTTTATTTCTTATAAAATATATTTTATATTGCTGCTGTAAAAATTACATTTCACATTTTTATTTTATTACAATAAAAAATAATACTTGGAAGACAGCTGAAAAAAGCTCCAATGAGACAGAAATTCACTGATACGGCATATCCCCGTTAAGCTGAATAGCATGCCAAAGAGCAGCTATTGGCAACAAATGTCCCATCCTTTCCACACTTTCTCATATCCCATAACTCCACAAAAAAACAAGTTACACCCTACCCTAGCTTTGTGTATCTACCTGAAGACTTCCCATTTCTTTAATCCAATGGGGGTGTAGAGTGACAGAGTGGGGGGGGGGTCACCAGGTGCTGAACTTCACACAACACAACTGCTTTGCTTCTTTTAGGGGTCCAATCTCCCATCAACAATGAAGGGTCACAACGTGTAGGCTGGACACACTCCAGTTAATGCCTAGCAGAAAGGTTCCTATGTACATACATATACATGCACAAAGAGACAATCAGACCAAACAGGTGCATATGGGAGGTGTTTCTTAGCTGAATTCACAGGTCACGGCTACCTAATGTTTGGAGGTTGAGGGGGACTTGCTTAAGATTAGAAAAGCTCTTAAGTATGGAGTCTATGCAAGAGTGACAGAAGGAAAACTAGAGTCTACCAAGTGTGGTTGGAAGCAAGTTAGAAAATTAGGCGGAGAAAAGCAAAGAAGGAAAAAAAAAATTTTTTTTAAATCTTGCTGTGTCATTTCTGCCAACAAAAAAAGTGTAAAAAATAAAATTAAAAAATACGTGCACCAGCTGTTCCAACAAAAAAAAAACACCCACATATAAAACAACCACCATATTGTTAAGAACTATTTTGTCCAATTAAATCTGTACCGCAAAAGCCCTCAAAATAAAGTGTAAGAATCCCCCATCCCCTTTCAAATCTTTTAAAAAACACTGATACAAAATATTCCTATGTAAGATGTTTTTTTCTTTATTATGATTAAGTAAGTGCTCTTCATTTTGGAATCAGGCATTGCAAGATGGCTATGTGTACAAACAAAGGTGCTGCAAGATAGGGAAAAAAAGCCAGTGGACAGTATTTAGTGTGTGTTAGTGGTGTAATACTTCTCTTCTGCCTACCTTCCTCCCATCCCACACACGCCTGTGATACCAGGCAATAGCAGACAGATTCTGCATTCCTCTCTGGCCTAAGAGTTTGTGCAGCTTAGCGAGGGTATACGGTATACCACATGCTTCTATAGGTGACTGCTTATTCCAAAGTCATTTACACTTTTTAAAAAAAATCACATTTAACAAAAGCAAAATGTTATTTTTTTCAAAACCCAATCTTCTGTCAGCAAAAAAATTATCCTTGAAATAAACATATATATAACACATACAAATGTTTGGGTTGAGGACTCTGGATTGTTCAAGGCCAGTTACTGAGGGGTGAACCTTAAAGAGGCTCATAGGATTGGTTTGATCAGCACCCGTGCGTCTGGATGCATATTTTAATTTCCTGAGTGACCCAGATTGACCTTATGAATTGCAGGGTCCTAAGCAAGAGAAGGGCCCCAAGAGTCCCAGAGAAAGAGAGGGAAGGGTGGTCAGGGTGAGTTTGTGTCCTGTTCCTCCAATCTCACGGCTGGAGAGAGAGATGAGACTACAATCAGTAAACTGCTAAGATGGCTTCATTTGAAGTCTGCAAATTGTACTAAAAGTGTCATAAAATAGGCTCTCTAAGAAGATTTCTGGACCTCTCCACTTCCTGAAAGACACAATGGGTCCAATGATTAGGGTGCTAGGCTGTAACTCAAAAGACTTGGGGGTTCAATTCCTTGCTCCACCACAAACCCTCCCATGAGTTAGGGGCTTCTGAAAAATCCCAGTAGGTGCCTATATCTGGATCTTTAGAAATCTGGCCCTTAGTCTCCCTGGATCAGATGTATGCAAGTGCCTAACTCCCAGTGAAATCAATGGGAATTAGATGGTGTCATGGGGTGCCTGGGCCCCTTTAAGGGGGAGCTGGTCTGCACCTGGGCTAACTGCCCTGGGCTGAGGCTGATCGGAGAAGTTCAGCAAAGAAGGTTTTAATGAACAGCTGGACAGCTTGAGTGACCCTACTGGTTACACCTGGAGAGGGCATGGTCAGGTAGGGAGGAGAGGAACTTAGAGGAAATGCAGGGTGGAACCCTCTCCGGGGTGGAGAGTCTGAAGAAGGACCTTGATATAGATCCCTCAAGTTGTCACACCCCGTATCTGTACAACTTGCAACTTCTGGTTGATACTACAAAGTTACTATGAAGTGGTTGCCATGAAAAATGCTGTATCACAAATGCTCCTCCAGCTATGCGTATCCACTATGGGCTAAGCAGAGCTGTATCACATCCTCTTAGTAGACCAGATACAACAGAAGGTCCTTAGAACTTATTAAGCGATAACACCTTGGAACAGTGGGTGAGTTTAGGCCTGGGGCGGGGGGAAGGCAAGTGGGGGGAATAAACCCAAACAGTTTTACTCTACCTCTCTGAAGGAAGGAACAAGAAGTGGAGAGCGGAAAGTTACCAAGCAGAACAAAGATACCTAGGTGTTAATGCTAGCCTTTAAAAAACACAGAGGTTGGGTGGGTCAGGAGAAGATTGAGAGACACAGGATGTTTGGGAAGAAAGAAGGAAAGACATGGATCAGCCAAGGTGAAAGTACTAGTAACTGAGCTGGGAAGAAGACTCCATGTTTCAGAACGTAAGGGTCCACAGCAGAAGGACCTGGTTGGCCTCAGAGGCTCTGACCCCAGCCCAAAGAATGCCCTGGTGAAGAAACTGAGAAATGAGCATAGGTTTTATTATTTTTGTATGGACCTGTGTATTTCTTGTATGATTCAGTAAAGAGCAACAGCGTTCTAGAACTCTGGGCAAAGTGTCTATTATGTGTCACAACTTTTATGTGTCCCCTGAGAGGGTTGAATGGTAACCCAGAAGGCTCATATTTTTGGTGTGGTTTTGGAAGAGGGGATCTTTAAGCTACAAGGGGAGTCTATGGTGTCTCAGCATTGGTTCCAGGCGCTGGGTAGTGGATGGCGAGGTCACAGCTCTCCCGAGGGAGTGTTAGAGGATCTGTGCTCCAAAAGTATGCGTAGGGATCTCAAGATTGGAACATCTGGGGATCAAGAAGGTTGATCATAGCATCTGCTGAGGTGACCAAATTTGTGACAGGGGGAAAAGCGGAATAAACTGCAGAAGTCACAATTAACTATAGTCATGCCCCCTCCCCCCCCCCCCCGGGGGGGGGGGGTGGCGGGAAGGGGACTTGGGGCCCTACAGGTCAGTATCATGACAATAGGTCAGAGGACTAAAGGGAACTGGAAGAGAGAGACTGAAATCTCAAACTCATAGGGCTGGAAGTGAGTTGCTGTTACTGTTTCACTTGCTGTCACTCGGTGAAGAGACTGGAACTGAAGACCCCAGGTGGGGCAGAAGACTTTTTGGTTCACTTTGGTTGTTTTAATACTGATGAAGGACATTAAGGACACATGTCCCAAAAGGGGTGGGACTCTAGAGGGAGGCAGCCAGAGGGCCAAGTACCCCACGACATGAGAGAGATGACACCACCACAAGAGGGCACTCCAGGATGGTGAGAGGCAACAACGCCACAAGGGAGCGCTCTGGGATGGTGAGCCCCATAACAGGCATCTAACACATTTAGAAACCTGGCTCTCTGTGTCTCAATTCCTTACCTATAAAATAGGAACCCGAGCACTACTCTACCTCACAGAGGTGTTGTGAGGAAAAATACATTAAAGATTATGAGGTGCTCAGATACTATAATAATGAGGGATGAAAACCTTAAACAGCAGAGCCAGGAATAAGAGATGAGGCATTTCTCTGGTTCCAGAACTGGGAATGAAAAACAACTAATAATATCAGAAACTGAACTTTTTGGGCCTCAAAAGAGACTTCTATTTGAATTGCAGGCAACGGTTCTAGTCAGTTTTACTTTACCCTTCCATAACTCGAGTGCAAAAAACACAGAAGCACTTGCATGCAAGTAAGCAGCATCCAACATCAAGAGTTCAAACTGGGAGACAAGAGGTTTCCTTTCATAATTTTATCAATGGGCCCAGGTGCCAGCCTTAAAGGAAAACTGCAGTGTAACCCAAGAGATAGTTTAACCACTGCATTTGAGAGTTATGTATGCAATTCCGCAATCCTTTCTCATGTGAGTAGTCCCACTGCAGTGCTGAGGTCACTGGGAGTACTCAAACAAGCACTTCAAGGAGTAGGCCCCAAGTGCCTGAAATACAATAAAGACGAATTATTAATAAACAGAAAGGTGCATTGGCAGGTTAGGATTCAGCCAATTCAAGTCAAGTAAAAGTAAAAACAGCTGGAAATTAGACTGTTTTAAAGGTTTGTGGGCTTTTACATTGTTTTTGAAACAGAAACATTTAAAAGTAAATAGTGTTATTTTAGAATGGCCCAATTTTCACCTATGTCCTGTGAGGGGTTCAAGTAGTACCCTGGCTGCTGTGAAGCACAATTCTTCACCATGAAAATGGCAGCCCCAACTGACTATCATCAACCCCTTTCTCTGAATGGTACTTTTTAGGCGAGCAACCACAATGTCTGAAATCTCTTTTGAAATTTCATTCTTTTCCAGTAGTTAGTAAAATATTAAGCCCTGTTATATTATATTAATAATTATTATATTAATATTGTTATATTTAATAACAACACCTGGTATGACAAACCACTGCAGTATTCCTTTAAAGGTCACCTATATAGAACAGTTCAGCAACTTGTCTGCTTTCATAATCCACATTTCTCACATCAGACTAAGACAGTGGATCTCAAACTGCTAGCTCTTTATGGTGGTCATCAGAGTAAGAGTCACAGTGGAGGGACTAAAGTGTAAGAGAGGGCCTCTTACGAACTCCTTCCTTCATAAAGTATCTGAACCGCAGTCACTGAAGTCAACTGAAAGACTCCCATTGTTTTCAATGGACTTTGCATCAGACCCACATGGACCCAGCTAGAGAACCTGACCCTACTGAATCAGACCTAGATGATTCCATTGGCTCAGAATCAGTGGACTAAGTAAAAAAAACAAACAAATAGGGAGACACACTCACTTTGTTCCTGCTTCCCATAGGCCAATTTGGCAACCACCAATTTAACAGCGAGCAGAAGACTGGGTTCTAAAACAATATACTGTATATATGTATAAAATTACAAAAAAATACCAACAAGCACCCCCATATATAACCCCTTTGACTGCACCACCTGCCCCTTTATCAACCAGGCTCACGTTGATCCAGGAGGAAATAACACCCTCCTGGTCACATGAATTGTTTTTACAAAGGAAGTGTAGTCAATCCTATGGTCCTTAAAAATACACCAGGCTTGTTTCTGCCTTGCCCATGGGTTGAGCTCTGCAGTTTATGGCCTACGATTATCAAAAACGCAGCAAAAAGTCCAATGATCCCCTTCCCACCCACTCCCATTAATACAAAACCCTCAACTCTGACTGCAGCCGAGTTATGCACAACATGGACCACATGGCTCGTGTGTAGCTGCCATTTTGTATTTACAAACAGAACAGACTTCACAGCGCCAGGATTCTCTGCACAACAGAGTGTAGCATTTGAATGGCTTTAGTGACGGGGCATTCCTTGCCCTGTTAAGAGAAACCAGGACTCCTTAGTGACTGTGACAGAGCACTTCTGTGACACCCGTTGAGTTCAACACGATCAAAATGGCACCCTCTGGGGGCAGTGTCCCAGTCAACCTGCACTGCTACCATCGCATACTGTACTGAGTTCAATGATGGAAACACCACTGACGCCCCAAAACACAAAATGGGGACGTATAGAACAAAATTCTTTGCCTTTGTGCTCCAAGGCCACACAGTGAGATGGACAGAGACACTGACATTAGCAACCTGGTCGCCAGGGTCCTGTCCATGCAGGGCCAAGCTTCCACAGGACAGCTTATTGTGCCATGGGATGCTGCTCCTCACAGCAGCTGCAATGTGTGTGCTGGTATTGTGGCTGGACTGCACTTGCTGCCAAGTGGCTTTTCACAGCTCAGACAGTAGATTGGGCACTTCCTACATGTGGCTGATCAGCCATGAGTGCAAAGACCAAAAACAATAAAAACTGGACCTGACTGCTGGTGGTGGATTAAATGGTGCTCTTCTCCAAAATCAGAGGGGCCTCTGGAACCTTTGATCTTTCCCTCCAGCTCCCCCCGCAATTCCAGAAAGACTCCTTGGGCTTGATTCTTCTCTTATTTAAACCTGTGCAAGTCAGGAGTAACTCCACTGAAGTTACACTGCTATAAGTGAGAATCAGGCAAACAGGGATAAATTCTACCCCAGAGGACAGTAAACTGTACACAATGACAGATCAAATCAGAAACATTTGAATCATGTAAAAAGAATATGAATTTTTAAAAAATGAAAGCCAGAAAGCTGGGTTCAGACATCTTTCACAATTCAGGATTTCATAACATACGTATCTATGACACTGATTCAGCAAATGACATAAGCACGTGCTTATCTTTAAGCGTGCAAGTAATCCCAACTCATTCAGCATGTACTTTAGTCCCACTGATTGCAACATAATGTAAAAATGTATGTAAGCATTTTGCTGAATTGGGGCCTAAATTTTTGTGTGTCCACCCTTTCTAGTCCTCTTGGGTTAACAATATTGATCCTGCCAACTTCGCAGAAAGCTACATCAGGTTTCAAAATAAAAACTCATTCCCTGTAGGTTAAAGAGACACTGTGAGACCCAAAAAATAGGTTTTTCAAAGAAATACATTGTTTTCATGAATCTAACAAAAAAATTAGTTTTGTTTTAAAAAAATTTGTTTTTAATTAAAAGATAAAAATATATGTAGATGTTTATTTTAAGATTTCAACATTGCTGATGCAGCTGTATCAGAACACATAAATACCAGGAAGTGAAACTGACCAGAGACATAGCAAGTCCAGCTTTAAATGTCAGAGCTGAGAGGTGTAAAAAGTAAACACAGTATCATTGGTAAAAAGCAAAGGAAAGAACTTTAAATTCCTCCCATTCCAATAATTTAAGGTGTTACTAGTAAAACATGAACATCATTTTCCTTTTTTAAGCTATGATTGTTATTCTGACAGTGCCCTTTAAACTACAGCAGACTTTGAGCTTTCTAGCCAGTCACGTAACAGAGAGAGAGATGATCCTCACCTCCTTATCCCAGCTACTGACCTGAAAGTTCAGTAGACTGTACTGTTGAGCTGGGAGATCAGTAAAGAGTTCTTTGGTCCCTGGATCACCAAATAACAAGTCTGCTGTGAACACCAAGCAACCAGCTTTCTTTCTTTCCCTCCCTATTTTTACTATAAAATAGGAGGACTTTTTTTTTTTTTTTTACGTTTGTAAAAAACCCACAGAAAGTGTAAAAAATTAATAAATCCAGCTGACATACAATATACAGAACTTGGAATTTACACACAGCTCTTGAGATCTCTGCTGAAGCCACAGGAGATAGATACCTCCAAGTTTGCTGTGCCCTGGTTGCAGCAATGACCAACTTTGGGAGCTCTCGGCTGAGAGAGAGAGAAATTCAATACTCCTGAAATGTTCATGTGCTCAGTCCAGGAATCGCTGGCAGGCCTTTTTCCACCGGCAGGCCGTGCACCACTGGTCTCGGTGCTCAATTCCATATACTTTACGGCATTTCTTGGCTTCGCCACGGACTTTTCTGCAGAGTAACAAAAATAACCGAGACGGTGACATGGTTATTAAAGCGTTACAGAGCTCAGGGGAGAAGAGAGTATGTGCAACGCAATGCAAGGTTGAGCTAAACCTGAGGAGGAAGCCCCAGTGTGAACAAAGCATTAGACGTTCCCAGTAGAGAGCAACCCTGCAATAGCAGAGGGATGGGCTGAACCCACAGTAACATCTCTTGCTTATGTGGCAGCTTCTAGAATTCTAAGGGCTTGTCTGCACTTGAAATGTCACAGCATTGCAGGTGCAACTACACTCCTAGAGCACTTCAGTGTAGACACCACCCATGCTGACAGGAGGGATCCTCCCACAGGTGTAGGTAATCCACCTCCCCGAGAGTTCTCCGCAAGAGTTCTTCTGTTGACCGAGCACTGCCTACTCCGGGGCTTAGGTCAACTTAACTAAGTCTCTCAAGGGTGTGGATTTTTCACACCCCTGAGTGACGCAGCTGGGTTGACCTAACTTTTTGGTGCAGACCAGGCCTACGTCAAAGGGCTGTTCCCATCCTGAGGGAGTCCAAAGAAAGTGGAAGTTTAAACCAAAGCGTTTCCTTCTTTTCTTTTGGACGGTTTTCAATCAAGACTCAGCAATACTAGCCATCTCCACAGCACCATTATTAGAATGCTAATAGAGAGGAAGGCTGTTCTTATTGTTAAGGTACCGGACTGAGATTCAAAAGATTGAGAGTCAATTCACAGCTCTGCCACAGGCTCCATGTGTGATCCATGGCAAACCACTTGATCTGTGTTGTGAATTCCCCATTTGTAAAATGGGGATAACAACACTTCCTTTCTCCCACGCTTTATTTCTCGTCTATTTAAACCATAAGCTCTTTGGGGCAGGGACTGTCTCTTACTATGTGTATTATGCACAGTGCCTATGCATAATAGCTGATCTTAGTTGGGGCAAATAATTCAAATACAGAATAATACCCGCTTTCATTCTGAAGAGTCACAAGCAGCAGACAAACTACATACAGAGTTCAATCATCCACCATTTAAATGCAGTCACCTCTGGGGTGGAATGTGGAAGCTACTCTGAACCAGCAGCGCTACATAAGAGTTTTTAGAAGGAGAAATGAAGAACAGTGTCCCCAGTTATTCAGTATTTAGGCAAAGCTATTACATGCAGACAGCAAAGAGGAAGTATAATACAACAGGTTGGTGGATTGAATGGACATACTGGAACAGTTATGGACCTGACCTAAATTAGACTGTATAAAAGCCAGTCAGCCAGTCAGCTGCGAACCAGCTGAGCAGCGAACAGCAGAGCAGCTAACAGAGGGAGTTTGCCTGGGAGTTCCCCAGGGAGAGCCTGCTGAGGCTTACATCTTGCCGGCTTCTCTGAGAAGTTACTACAACTCCTGAGTGAGCTAGTAGAAGGAAGATAATATGGATGGGGGGTGTTCAGCTGTTGTGACCTGCACTGGATGTACCATGTTTGTCTTTCTTCCACAGGACAGAAGCAACTTTGTCTGTACAAAGAGCAAGCTGGTCTCCATATTGGAAGAGAATATTGGAGAAATGAGTATCGACCCTGCGTTTCATAAGAGAAACTGAAGATTTCCTGGACGGATGTCAGGATAGGCTTCTACGGGCACAAGGTTCTGAAGATTCAGAGCAGGCTGCGCAGCAGGGACAGAAGGATGGTGAAGAAATTTGGCATCATGTGACCTCCGGAAGAAGAAAGGGGAGCATCCCTGTACCAGCAGGGCAGATACAGGTAAGTAACCGTTTTCATGTTCTCTCCACAGGTACTAATGCGGAGAGTGGACCAGATGATACGTCTGAGGGAAGGGAGTAGAAGGAGACTCTGCCGATTGGAAGGCATGGGATGCACTGTCCTAGGGTTGGGGGGTCCACGACCACCGCTCCCAAGAGAAGGAGGCGGGTGGTAGTGGTCGGGGACTCTCTCCTCAGGGGGACTGAGTCATCTATCTGCCGCCCCGACTGGGAAAACCGAGAAGTCTGCTGCTTGCCAGGAGCTAGGATTCACGATGTGACAGAGAGACTCCCGAGACTCATCAAGCCCTCGGACCGCTACCCCTTCCTGCTTCTCCACGTGGGCACCAATGATACTGCCAAGAATGACCTTGAGCAGATCACTGCGGACTACATGGCTCTGGGAAGAAGGATAAAGGAGTTTGAGGTGCAAGTGGTGTTCTCGTCCATCCTCCCCGTGGAAGGAAAAGGCCTGGGCAGAGACCGTTGAATCGTGGAAGTCAATGAATGGCTATGCAGGTGGTGTCGGAGAGAAGGCTTTGGATTCTTTGACCATGGGATGATGTTCCAAGGAGGAGTGCTAGGCAGAGATGGGCTCCACCTTAAGAAGAGAGGGAAGAGCATCTTTGGAAGCAGGCTGGCTAACCTAGTGAGGAGGGCTTTAAACTAGGTTCACTGGGGGAAGGAGACCAAAGCCCTGAGGTAAGTGGGGAAGTGGGATACCGGGAGGAGGCACGAGCAGGAGCGCGTGAGAGGGGAGGGCTCCTGCCTCATACTGAGAAAGAGGGGCGATCAGCAGGTTACCTCAAGTGTCTATATACAAATGCACGAAGCCTGGGAATCAAGCAGGGAGAACTGGAAGTCCTGGCACAGTCAAGGAATGATGATGTGATTGGAATAACAGAGACTTGGTGGGATAACTCACATGACTGGAGTACTGTCATGGATGGATATAAGCTGTTCAGGAAGGGCAGAAAAGGTGAGGGAGTTGCACTGTATGTAAGGGAGCAGTATGACTGCTCAGAGCTCAAGTATGAAACTGCAGAAAAACCTGAGAGTCTCTGGATTAAGTTTAGAAGTGTGAGCAACAGGGGTGATGTCATGGTGGGAGTCTGCTATAGACAACCGGACCAGGGGGATGAGGTAGACGAGGCTTTCTTCCGGCAACTCGCAGAAGTTACTAGATTGCACGCCCTGGTTCTCATGGGAGACTTCAATTACCCTGATATCTGCTGGGAGAGAAATACAGCGGTGCACAGACAAACCAGGAAGTTTTTGGAAAATGTAGGGGACAATTTCCTGGTGCAAGTGCTGGAGGAACCAACTAGGGGCAGAGCTCTTCTTGACCTGCTGCTCACAAACCGGGAAGAATTAGTAGGGGAAGCTAAAGTGGATGGGAACCTGGGAGGCAGTGACCATGAGATGGTCGAGTTCAGGATCCTGACACAGGGAAGAAAGGAGAGCAGCAGAATATGGACCCTGGACTTCAGAAAAGCAGACTAACTCCCTCAGGGAACTGATGGGCAGGATCCCCTGGGAGAATAACATGAGGGGGAAAGGAGTCCAGGAGAGCTGGCTGTATTTTAAAGAATCCTTATTGAGGTTACAGGGACAAACCATCCCGATGTGTAGAAAGAATAGTAAATATGGCAGGCGACCAGCTTGGCTTAACAGTGAAATCCTTGCTGATCTTGAACACAAAAAAGAAGCTTACAAGAAGTGAAAGATTGGACAAATCATCAGGGAAGAGTATAAAAATATTGCTCGGGGATGCAGGATTGAAATCAGGAAGGCAAAATCACACCTGGAGTTGCAGCTAGCAAAGGATGTTAAGAGTAACAAGAAGGGTTTCTTCAGGTATGTTAGCAACAAGAAGAAAGTCAAGGAAAGTGTGGGCCCCTTACTGAATGAGGGAGGCAACCTAGTGACAGAGGATGTGGAAAAAGCGAATGTACTCAATGCTTTTTTTGCCTCTGTCTTCTCGAACAAGATCAGCTCCCAGACTACTGCACTGGGCAGCACAGCATGGGGAGGAGGGGACCAGCCCTCTGTGGAGAAAGAAGTGGTTCGGGACTATTTAGAAAAGCTGGACGAGCACAAGTCCAAGGGGCCGGACGAGTTGCATCCGAGAGTGCTAAAGGAGTTGGCAGATGTGATTGCATAGCCATTGGCCTTTATCTTTGAAAACTCATGGCAATTCGGGGAAGTCCCGGACGACTGGAAAAAGGCTAATGTAGTGCCCATCTTTAAAAAAGGGAAGAAGGAGGATCCGGGGAACTACAGGCCAGTCAGCCTCACCTCAGTCCCTGGAAAAATCATGGAGCAGGTCCTCAAGGAATCAATTCTGAAGCACTTAGAGGAGAGGAAAGCGATCAGGATCATGGATTCACCAAGGGCAAGTCCTGCCTGACTAATCTAATTGCCTTCTATGACGAAATAACTGGCTCTCTGGATGAGGGGAAAGCAGTGGACGTGTTGTTCCTTGACTTTAGCAAAGCTTTTGACACTGTCTCCCACAGTATTCTTGCCAGCAACTTAAAGAAGTATGGACTGGATGAATGGACTATAAGGTGGATAGAAAGTTGGCTAGATTGTTAGGCTCAACGGGTAGTGATCAATGGCTCCATGTCTAGTTGGCAGCCGGTGTCAAGTGGAGTGCCCCAAGGGTCGGTCCTGGGGGCGGTTTTGTTCAATATCTTCATAAATGATCTGGAGGATGGTGTGGATTGCACTCTCAGCAAATTTGCAGATGACAATAAACTGGGAGGAGAGGTAGATATGCTGGAGGGCAGGGATAGGATACAGAGGGACCTAGACAAATTAGAGGATTGGGCCAAAAGAAATGTGATGAGGTTCAACAAGTTCAAGTGCAGAGTCCTGCACTTAGGACGGAAGAACCCAATGCACAGCTACAGACTAGGGACCGAATGGCTCGGCAGCAGTTCTGCTTAAAAGGACCTAAGGGTGACAGCGGACGAGAAGCTGGATATGAGTCAACAGTGTGCCCTTGTTGCCAAGAAGGCCCATGGCATTTTGGGATGTATACGTAGGGGCACTGCCAGCAGATCGAGGGACGTGATCGTTCCCCTCTATTCGACATTAGTGAGGCCTCATCTGGAGTACTGTGTCCAGTTTTGGGTCCCACACTACAGGAAGGATGTGGAAAAACTGGAAAGAGTCCAGCGGAGGGCAACAAAAACGATTAGGGGACTGGAACACATGACTTATGACGAGAGGCTGAGGGAACTGGGATTGTTTAGTCTGCGGAAGAGAAGAATGAGGGGAGATTTGATAACTGCTTTCAACTACCTGAAAGGGGGTTCCAAAGAGGATGGATCTAGACTGTTTTCAGTGGTAGCTGATGACAGAACAAGGAGTAATGGTCTCAAGTTGCAGTGGGGGAGGTTTAGGTTGGATATTAGGAAAAACTTTTTCACTAGGAGGGTGGTGAAGCACTGGAATGGGTTACCTACGGAGGTGGTAGAATCTCCTTCCTTAGATATTTTTAAGGTCAGGCTTGACAAAGCCCTGGCTGGGATGATTTAGTTGGGGATTGGGTCCTGCTTTGAGCAGGGGGTGGGACTAGATGACCTCCTGAGGTCCCTTCCAACCCTGATATTCTATGAGTCTATGATTCTATCGCAGGGTGGGAAGCTCTGATGGCTTCACCTGAAGGCTAGACTCCAGAAATCTGAGAACCAAGGTATGATACAGTGGAGATCCATTATTATTTATAAAGTGCCACACAGCTCCATGCCAGAGCTGGGGCTGGCAGAAAGCACATCATTTTCCTTTTTTAAACAGAAACAAGAAGGAAGGGGGCAGAGGACAGCAACTGACCCCTCAGGTTTGGGGCCCCAGAGCAACAGGAGCCTTCCGGGATGGGGATGGATGATACTGAGGCTACTGTAGAAGATTCTCACACAGCTTTTGAAATATGGAAGGGCCAGCTCTGGTCTTTGCTGAGGAAGAGCCCCAGGGTAACCCTGGACTAGGGAGGAATGCACCTGGTCTCCTGAACATGTGAAGTCTTCTTGGGGTTTTCTCAGGAACATGGGACAATTCCCCTGCAGGGCACTAACCTACTCAGGGGACCACAAGTGTAGACCCCGGCCCAACGCAGAGTTATGCAGGTGTGACAGCACCAGGCCTATCACCTGGATGCACATTAGACATGTCTGGGCTAGTCTGTTAACGTCTTGTACAAGGCTAAAGAGGCTGGGTTGAAAAGACCTATTCAGGCAGAAGCCCCAGCAAGGAGGCTATGCAGACTGGAGGGGTGATTAGGCTTTAACCAATACAAAATAGCCACAGGAGAAGATTATAAGCCTCTAAAACGTCCCCATTAACATCTCACCATCCTAGATCACCCAGTCCCAGAGCATCCATGATTTCTACAGTGCCCAAAAGCACGCTGAGCACCTCAGAAGAACATATCAAAAGACAAGGTGCTGATGCCAGGTTCCAAGCTAGCCAGGGACATGACACAGGAAGGACAAGGTCTGTAGTGAGGTCATGGGGTACCTCAGTTTGGGTACGTGCATCAGGAGATTTCATTACCTATCATTCTTATTATTTTAGTTCATGCTTCTTGTAAGCCAGGTGATCAAGGGAGTTCAAAGGGAGGCTCCTAAGCTAGGAGACGTTGGTGGCTTGGTTAACAGGGATTGGCAGAGTGTTCTAAGCAGGGTTTGCATGGAAGTGGCTTAGGAAATACAAGGCTGTCCTCCTTTGAAGAATGGAGGAGACAGGAGGAAACTTGATAGGAGACAGGTTTCAGAGTAACAGCCGTGTTAGTCTGTATTCGCAAAAAGAAAAGGAGTACTTGTGGCACCTTAGAGACTAACCAATTTATCTGAGCATAAGCTTTCGTGAGCTACAGCTCACTTCATCAGATGCATACTGTGGAAAGTGTAGAAGATCTTTTTATACACACAAACCATGAAAAAATGGGTGTTTACCACTACAAAAGGTTTTCTCTGCAAAAGGTTTTCTCTGGCCCAACTTGATTATCATACACAGTGTAAGGAGAGTGATCACTTTAGATAAGCTATTACCAGCAGGAGAGTGGGTTGGGGGGAGAGAAAACCTTTTGTAGTGGTAAACACCCATTTTTTCATGGTTTGTGTGTATAAAAAGATCTTCTGTACTTTCCACAGTATGCATCCGATGAAGTGAGCTGTAGCCCACAAAAGCTTATGCTCAAATAAATTGGTTAGTCTCTAAGGTGCCACAAGTACTCCTTTTCTTTTTGGTAGGAGACAAGGCCAGAGATCTGGGCCAGGGCAGAAGTGAGTCAATAATAATTGGCACCTGGACAGCACTTTCTCTCTGGAGATATCAAAGAACTCTGAGGACATTATTTGTTACCGCAGCTACTCATGGAGCAGCACCCCACAGTGGGAGGCGCCATGCAAACACAGAACAAAGAGATGGCTGCTGCTCCAAAGAGCTTAGCCTCAGAAAGTTTCTGGGAAATTATTATCATCATCCTCATTCTGGAGATGGGGAAACTGAGGCACAAAGAAGTTAAGTGATTTGCCCAGGATCACAGAGAGTCTGTTGCACAGTTGGGAAGAGAACCCAGGACTTCAGATATTCAGTCCCATGTTTCCCCCAAAAGGACAGTTACAACCATCTTTTATACCACCTAAAAGACTGTCAAACAAGAAGTTTTTCCATCTAAAAACTCTCTTCGCCTAAAGGCAACAAGGGACATGGTTAAAATGAGAGCCTCACGTAATACTTTTACATTCCAAATGCTTTAACTGTTTTTCCTTCTTTCTGTATATCTTTAATAAAAGGTTAAAAGGATGTTTAAATGGTGTGTTTGCCATGGTACTAAATCTCTCTGCCAAACCCGGAACCTTGTTTAACACTGTTTAATGTTGGTCAGTGACAGGGCCACATTAACACCTTTGACTCTTTGGGCCCATATAATCCACCTAAATTAATACAACACAACCATAACAACATCCTTCCTCTCTTAAAAAGAAAAGGGAGGACTCGTGGCACCTTAGCGACTAACCAATTTATTTGAGCATGAGCTTTCGTGAGCTACTGAATGCATCCGATGAAGTGAGCTGTAGCTCACGAAAGCTCATGCTCAAATAAATTGGTTAGTCGCTAAGGTGCCACAAGTCCTCCTTTTCTTTTTGTGAATACAGACTAACACGGCTGCTACTCTGAAACCTTCCTCTCTCACTGTCCCACCTGCAATGGTGTAACCATACCCAGCTGTCCCTGTGCAGGATATGGTATCGGCTCATTGCTACCTATGTTAACACTCTCTCTTCTCCGACAGTACCAGGGCAGCATGGTCCCCACCCGCTTCCCCTCTCTGCAAACTCTTACCTGGTGCCACTGGGAGCCTTGGGAGGAGACGCGACGATCAGGTGTGACTTCAGCATTGATGTCGGCTGTTGGTGTTCACTGAAGCTCAGTGATCTGCTTCGAACCTGCACATGAGAATCAATTCCAGATCTATGAGTCATCACACACACCAGAGCTCGCTTTCTGCTGCTGAGATCTGTCCAGTCAGATGAATCCAGCCCAGTCTCTGTACTCAATAGCCTATGGAGACTGGTTTTATTGCGTGCGTAAAGCAGCATAGAGAACATAGCTCAACCATGTGGTGCCATGTCCCCTGAGCTGGTGGCAATGCACAGATCTCCCGTCAGGCAGCACATAAGCTTCAGGGAGTGACAAAGGCTAAACCAGGTTCTCTTTAAAACTCCCACTCCCTATGCCCTCCCACCCCTGCCCGATCACCCTTTCCAAGGTGCTGGGCAATTAACTGTGTAAAGAAAAAAGAGCCAAGCAAGCGTGACTCACCGGGGAGAGAGAAGGGATGGTGGAGGTGGCAGCAGCCCAGCTGATGCTGGTGAATATGTGTGGTGACACCGGAATCTGAATTGACGGTAAGGCCTGTGGAAGGAAAGGGGAGCAAAGGTTAGTGGTTTAACATTAACCCTTCAGAGGCAGTGTTGGTAACTGCAAGGACAGGGAAGCCAGGACTCCTGGTGTTGGATCATATTAAAGAAGTTCTGTATTAAAATCACAAATGAGTTTGATCCCCCATAGTTTAAATTCCAGGGTATTACTAATTAAGAGGTCTCTTGGTTTTTGGTACTGTTTCTCTCCCTCTATGTGTGAAACTTGCAAGCTGCTAATTGTGTTAGTACATTCTAAGACAAAGTCTGTTCTCAAAGCAATTCTTTGTAACAACAACTACTCACACAAAGAGAGACTCAAAGCAATACTCTGTAATAACAGAAACAGCACCCAGAGACTCCCTGTCCTTCTGTTGTATTCATCTCGCTTTGTTAACAATTGTGACTAAAATAGAGATAGAGGATGTATGTGGATGGATGCTTGGTGTGGATAACAACTGAATGATCAGGGGGGTGCCAGCCTAAGAATCCGGTGTCCATCGGCTGAAGAAGGCGTCAAGTGGAAATAACCAGAGGACCCCCGGAGGGCAGACCGGAATCCACCCAACAGCCTCAAGAACGGGAGAACCAAAGAACAAGATAACATCTGGCAGCACGGAGCCGTCAGGAATATGCCATCTGCTGATTGATTCAGCAACAGCATGATGAAGCAATTCCCATAGACTGGCATAGGAAGAAATTCCTATAAAAATGGACTCTAGAAAGTGAGAACTTTGGGATCTGATTCTGCAAACCAACCTCCAGGAGCATCAGATGAGCATCTGACAAGGCCCTGCTCCCTCCTCATGTTCAGGCTACCTGGCCAGTGGCTTGGCATGAGCAACTCTAAGGCTGGTAACTAGGATAACAACCTTGCAGAACCTGTGTGTGTGTGTGAATGAATGTGTGAAAAAGTATGAAATTGAATGGAATGTTATAGCTATAACTAACTGCTTACTATGATTCTTTCTGTATTCACAATAAATGTGGCATTTTGCCTTTTCCCCTTTAATAAGATCCTGCTGGTTTTTATTTTATTGGTATAACACTGGGTTCCATCTGACTATCACTGACTCACTGGGTGAATTGGCCAAACACCTCAGAGCCTCAATACCCCTCCTCCCTGACTTTTGCGCTCTGAACCATGCAGCCTGCATGTTCTCTTAATGGAGTTTTTAAAAGATGTTTCTTAGGTAAATTCCTTAACCTGGAACGATTTCACTAAGTGCCACCAGAACACCTTCTCCAGGACCATTATAAGGTCTGGAGAAGAGGGTACCTGACCTGCCAGCCACAGGAGCTGTGGGATACCAGCCTTCAGAGACCCTACTCCAGCACAGACTCTGAGCTCCACTGGGCAGACACCTAACACAGCTGCTGGCCTGCTTCAGAGTCCAGAGGCAGAGTCCCCCACCCTTAGCAAGGCTGCACCTTTAGTTCACTTTTCAGCATGCAGCCTCAGCAACCATATGTGCATAGCAACCTTCCTTACGACTATTTATTTGTATTACAGGAGTGCCTAGAGACCCCAGCCAAGCCCAGGGCCTCACTGTGGTAGGTACGTATATACACATATACAGCAAAAAACAGCAACAGCCCTCAAGATAGGAACTAAAGAGACAAGACAAAAGGGGAGGAGAGGAAATATTATCCTCATTGTACAGATGGGAACCAAGGCACGAGATTGGGGTAAAATTTCCAAAAGTGATTTAGAAGCCGAAGTCCCATTTTTACGACAGACTTAGGCTCTGAGAGCCATTGGAATTTAAACTCCCAAGTCATTTAGGTACTTTTGAAAATTTTACCCTTAAATGACTTGCCCAAGGTCCCATGGACTCTGTGGCAGAGTCTAGAATTGAGCCCTGATCTCCCCAGTCCCAGTCTAGTGCCTTGACTACAGAGCAACCCTTCCTCTTCAACCTTAACCGCTCTCTTTCTGTGCAAGGGGTACTGCTCATGCACAGTGGGCGGCTTTCTTTCCTTCCGCCCACTGTGCATGAACAGTACCCCTTGCACAGAAAGAAAGAGAGCAGAGTGCCCCAGGGCACTAAGAAACGTTTCCCTCTGAAACGGATTTCTCCAAGGTAGTTACACAAATTTCAATTTCAACCCCCAACTGATTGGGCTGTGGGGCTAGTCAGAAAAATGTTACAAGATTCCCTGCCCCACCCACACACCCCCAATGTGTAAAGTGTATTTCCCCCCCCCCCCCCTCTCTTACTTAAAAAAACAGGATACATTTTTTTTGTTCAGACTTTCCACACACCCTGCCCCCCCGCCCCCAGGCAGAGACCACGCCTGAAAGGTGAAAGTGACTGAAGACAGGCAGCTACAGTGGAAATGCTTATGCTGCCTTAGCTCCACAAATCATCCCGTGTGTAACACAGAGATATCCTGGGCTGTAAAGCCTGGTCTACGCAGTTTGTCCACTAGAATTACTAGGTTGGGTAGGGGTGTGATTTTTTTTTTTAACGAATGTAGTTATAGCAATACAAGCCCTAGCGGGCAAATAGATATAAAGGTGCCTTATATCAGTACAGCTTATTCCCCTCCCCATAAAGGAATAAGCTACACCAGCCTAAACAGGCCGATACTGGTATAACACCACCTACAACAGGAAAGTTGTATCTCTTTAACTAAACTGGTTTAGGTACACTTGTGTGTGTACAGAAGGCCTAACAGTTTTAGCAGCATGAGGAACTGCAAGTGATGCAGTTATACCGGATCCCCATGCTTCCCATGTATTTGAACTCGGGACTCCTAATACCCAAGACATGCAAGGATCCGGTATAGTTACATTCCTGGTTGTGTTTTTTTTGCATACATAGGGATGTGCTGCATACCACCAAGCTGGCTAATTACAGGGTGGCTGGAAACTAGAGTGCTCACAGCAAGAGAATGACTGCGTTATACAGGTTAGCGAAAGAAATCCACTGATCACTTAAACAAAGAGTAACAGATACGCAGCTCCATGGTTATGAGGCCTAGCCAGCAGGTAGGAGGACAACAAGGCTGCAAATGTTTACAAGACATAATGAAGTTCCTCCCATATGCTGTCTTGTAGTATGAAAATTATGGAAACACTGGATCAAAACTAAGTAAATTTGAAACCAACAAATCAAAATACTTTATGTCTCCTATAGCCAATCTGTGGAACTCACTGCAGCAGGAGGTACAGTCAAATTCTGTGGCTGGATTTTAAAACAGAACTGGATCATTTTAGGATCACTAACTTTTGTAGCTATCCAAGCCAAAACAACAAGGAGAATCAGACCATTAGCTGATCAACTGCTGGGTCCAAGAAGGAGATTTTCTCCTTCCTGCTATGCACAACCACTACAGAATTCACTATGCGTTATTTTCTCTGATGCATCAGGCACTGGTCACTGGCATAGACAGGACCCTGAACTTGATGGACCAATGGTCTGATGTGGTAAGGAAGATTCTATAAGTAGCCAGCTGGTTTCTGAACCTTGTCATTAGATATGAAAACAAATGCCCCTAAGAATGAGGATGCCAGATGCCACTCCATCATGATGTTTCCGTAAGTGGCCAACATACCTGATAGGCATGATCTGCCTGGATGTGCCAGAAGGAGCTGGGGGCAGACTGACTGAGGGCACTGTTTGGGAGGTGAGACTCCAAGGTTGCCTGGTCCAAAGCCAAAGCCTCTGGCTTGGCTAGGGCCTGCTGGATGACAATGGGTGAGGACCCAAAGGTGGGGCTGGTGGCAGACTCTGGAGCAGCTTCTTCTTTCACCTGCACTTCGGTGTAGTAGAAGTCTTCCTCCCTCCTCCGCTGGTCAGAGTCTGCGCCATCTCTGTGGTGGTTTAAAAAGGGGAAAGGGTATGAATCAGTAATCATAAGTAACTCCCCCTTCCAATCAGATCTGTGCAAGGTGCCAGCATGATGCAGGTGGCAGCACTCAACCAATGAGCTATAAAAAAAAAAATCACAGGTTCAAGACCCGCCCCAGTTTCAAGCTCATTCTCAGAGCTGACAGTGTGAGGCAGCAGGTGGGGTCACCCTTGCGGAGGGTTCTCTTCTTCGGTTATGCTGTTAAACCAAGGTCTCTTTGGCCCGGCTGGGATTAAAGATTCCACGCACTTTTCCAAGAGACCAGGTGTCCTGGCCAACACTGCCTCGGCCAACAAAGCAAGTTCTGACGCTCAAGACAACGGCGAGCTATTGCTCCGTGCAGGAATGCGGACGGGCTTGCGCACACCCGTCGTACTGAAACCTGGAGAGCTGGCTGGCCCCAAATGGAGATGCAAAGGGCTATGAAATAATCACACAGCAGCAACAGCACATGCTGACCCAGTAAAACATTGTAACGCAACATCAGCATGCAGTTCTGCCAATATTTCGTGACCCCCGTTCGTACCATCTAATGTCTCCTGCCACCATATCCAGTGTTATTAGCTGCTTTTGGGAAATGAATATTTTTCCTTTCTCCCTTTGCTGGCGGCATAAAGATTCAGTTACTTCGGTTCCTTTGCTCAGCATCGCCTGTGTTGTGTCACGTACCTCAGAAAGTACGGAAGACGTGTCAAGCAAACCTTTGGACTCTAAGGGCACTTCTCCACAGCATTTTAGAGCCTGCGGGAGCGAGCATCCCAGATCTGGCCGACAGACTTGGGTTAGCAGGACTTGAGTGAGAGCTGTAAAAATCGCTGTGTAGACAACGCTTTGAAGTTGTGGCTGAGGCTGAAACCGCAACTTCAAAGCGGTGTCAACACAGCGATTTTGTCAACCTGGGCTGGGAGGCTTGCTCTTGAGGGCTCTGAACTGCTGTGTAGACATACCCTGAAGCTTCAGGGTATATGGTCTACAGTCACTGCACCAGTAATATTTAGCACTTAGACGGGAAGGTGCTTTGTATCTTCAAAGGGATTTAGAAGCATTAACTAGTTAAACAGACATCATCGGCTTAAAAATCTCACTGCTTACTAATTTTGTTTTATCTACCATTGTTGCAAATAAAACCCAAGAGGAGTGTAGGAAAGAGATTAGAAAAGAGGTTTTTTTCCCCTCGATATTGCCAGCATGTTTATTTTGTGCTCCTGACAGTATTTCGTGAATTGTCAGTTTCCCCACGTCCTCTGTATAGTCAGTTTCCCCCATGGTTTGTTTGGAGCTTTCACATGGAAACAAGGTGAGAGAAAAAACATTTCACAAAACAGAAAAACGTGAGGCTGTAAAACCACACTGGCACGGGGGACTGAGTGGTAGACATGGGTTTTAGAATGGACAACACCACAATATCCCTACAAGGAGGGGAAGAATTATCCCCATTTTGAACATGGGGAAAATGAGGCACACGGGGACGGACAGACTGTGAGTTGCCCATGGCGAGAATTAGTGGCAAAGCCAGGCTTTGAACCCAGGAGTTCCTGGCCCCCAGTGCTCAGACCCAGCTTCTCTTCTGCGATAACTTGTACAGTACAGCAGGGAGACCATGGAACACAAAAATTAAACCAAAAACCAACTTCCATTCGAGGCTGGATTTTTCTTGGAAACATGAGCAAAGCAGGAGGTTTGATGGGATGTTAGCTTCCCCTGCGCGTCCTGCTCTTGTGTGATAAAAGCCTCTTTCCTCACTGTACCACAGTTGCTGTACAAATGCAGAAGTGTCAAGCTTTGCGGCTTGTGCCTGTATCAGTCAGATGGGGCAGCAAGGGGCCCACTGGCTGGAGGTGCAACCGCTTTTTCTTTACTCTGGGCCCTTGATGGTCAGGGAGAGAAGAGCTTACAGCTCACTCCTGTCCCACCTTTACACCCCTTCGCTTTAGGGAATTTGCAATGCCTGGAGAACCAACCCTGAACTGAAACTAGGGGGCCCCACCACACCAGAAACAAGCCTTAGCTGAACTGAGCAACTATAGTCATTACTTGAGTTCTATTCAGTTAATTAGCAGCTTAAAGGGGAGCATAAAGCAAAGGGCTTGTTTCCAAGAAATACCAGTTTTACCCTGGGGGGGGCCTTAAAGATACATCCCATCTCCCCTTCTCAATACCCCCCAGTCTCCGTCATTGTTATTTATTTGTATTTCAGCTGTGTCCAAAGGCCCTAAACAGAATTAGGGCCTCCACTGTGCCAGGTGCTATACAAATGTAACGCACTGGTTAGTGTCGGTCATGCATCCCCCTCTGTATGAGCCGGATAAAAACTCCCTGCCAGCCCCACTCTTAGCTTGGGCTGCAGAGACTCATAATTTAAGCTCTGGACGTCCCCGGTTCGTTCCCTGGTGGTGGCCAAGTGGCAGCCATCACACAAACACACAAGACTGTTCCTGTCCCAAAGCGCTTCTGCTTCAAAATAGACAGGGCAGAGTGGCTGGAGAAAAGGGATGCAATACACGAGCAGAATCATGGTTGGCAAATCTACCTTTTCTTATTGTATTCTTGGGCAAAGGTGGGGGTGGAAGGCTGGAGAAGAGTTAACAGAGCAAGAGAGCAGGAAACATGAGGGAAGAGGGACACAGAGAAATGGGGAAGGGAGAAAAGGAAAGATGGAGAAGAGCACAGAAGGCAAGGGTTGGGGTGGGCAACGCAGCCCTGAGCTACCGTACAGGGCCCATCTCAGTGGTGTCTGAGAGGGAGAGGGGAGGGCTGGAAAGCAGGTTATGGCAGCCATCAGCCATCTGGGCCAGCAGCAATTCTCTAGCCAGGGTAGTTTCCTGCGTTCCCTACTAGCCCAAGCAGCAGGTTTAGTGAAGGTCAAGTGCAGCAGAAAATCCTTTGGCATCTGCCCTAAGCACTGGTGACAGGTACTGCACCCACAGCTCTGGAGACTGACGAGCTTTACCCACCAAACAGCCGCAGTGTGTTAGACCTGCCCCAAAGGGATTCCTCTTCAAGGATGAGAGGGAAGTTCATTCTCCAGGGCCCCTTCAACCCTTGGCCTCATTGCAGAGGCTGCGGACATATAGGGACAACAATGATGGTGGCTTTGGTGACATGGATGACTGGTGGGCACTGGACTGAGAACTTCCAAACGCATTTCATACAGGCCAGGGCAGTACCAGTTTGATACCCAATATATCCTCAATTGGGAGACTATGTCCTGCCTTTCCGAGGGATAATCTCAATGATCTGCCAAATCTTTTCCGACTTTTAATTCTGTGAGCCTCTGAAATTCCTTCTTCCTTCTGCCCCCAGCCCCTCAGACCCTGCTTGGGTTCTGCAGGTTAATCGCCATTCAAGGTCTTACCCAAGGTGCTGGGTCTTGATGTGACGCTTGATACCGACAATGGATCGCAGTACTTTACCACAGTTTGGCCACAGGCACTTGTACATCACCTTCACCGAGTTCTAGGAAAAAGACAGGCCCACGTCACGGAAAGGTTACACCCCAGCCCTGCTCCGAAGGGACAGAAACAGCCCCAGAGAATTAAGATTCACTCAGGATCACTGAAAACAGTCTGCATGATGCTGCCGTTTTGTCCCATCCACCCCACACACATTCCTGGGCCTCCCTGGCCCTCTCAAGGTGCCAGTTCACGAGGTGCCAAGTTTCAGCCAGACACAAGGAAGACTCCAGTTATCTGGATTTATTTCTGCCCTCCCATCCTGCCTGTTTCTCCCTCTCTGCTCCTCTTTCTCTTGCCCTAAAGTTGACTTGTCTCCCATACATTATTTTCCCCCTCCCCCAGCCCCTTTGACGATCAGTGCGCCTGCTCCACCTGGCCCATGTGGACAGAGGGGGGAACTGAGCCGAGAAAGAGCTCCATGCATGGAACGGAGTACTCCCCAACCTGCCCCGGCTCCCTGCTCTGGTCATAGATATCAGGCAGAGTGGGAAATGCTGATGAGTAAAGGACAGGAGTGAATGGGAGCAGGGAGAACTCTGCAGCCACTAGCAGGATCTGGGGAGATGGCAGGCAACTGACCCTTGGGCTACTGTCTCTTCTTCCCCGCCAATCCCCTTTGCATTCCTGGGGTCTCTTCCCTTCTCCCATCCCCAGCACCCCTTCTGCTCTGGGATCTCAAGGTGAAGCTTGCCAAGGGTTAGTAAGAGGCACTTTGCTTCCACTCTCTCCTGCTAGCTTCAGAGACAGAGTGAAACTTACCAACACCTTGTCAGTTTCACCAGGCAGCAGATCCCATGACTGAGAGTTCACAGCCCAGTTCCCCCTGCCCTCCCTACCTTTCTCTTTCTTGGGGCAGGCTCATCGAGAAGAAAGGGATCCGAGTCTGTCTCAAAGCCATCGTCGGCCTGCGGGGAGCTCAAGGCCTCGCTCGAGTACTTGGGGCTGGCTTCGGGATGCGGGGGTGACGGGGTGGAGATGTCGCTTCCGCCACTCCAGTGACCACTGGTGGTGCTGCTGCCACTGTCTGAAACGTCGCCGCTCTCCTTCCAGGCGTCGCAGGCTGCCTGGGATGCTGAGCCGGGGGGGAGAGGAGAAGGGAACAGACATGAAAACTGACAGGTACGAACACAGCTCCTGCCTGCGGGACGCGGCAGCTCTGCTCCCAGCCCCCTGCCCCCCCTCTCCAGTCAGTCTGTTCGGTTACCTTCATCTTGATCAACACCCAGGACCAAATCGCGGACCTCTGGAGCTAGGAGCATCTGTCTCTACAGCTCTACCGAGCGCCAAGCCCTGTAACACTCCCATCCGCTGTGGATCAGGCACGGTGGGGAGACACATAACGCGCTTCCCCCTGGGTTACGGCGCCATTAAGGATGGCGTGGATGCAACCAGAACAGAGACCTTTGGCCCAAAACTTAAACCACAGGCTTCAGGATCAAAACAACGTGTGTAACCTTTACCTTCTCCCCGCTGCACAGGGCTGCGAGCCAGGAGCCCTGGATTCTATACCCAGCTCTACCAACGATTCACTGCGTGGCCTGGTGCCTCCCTCTGCCTTCGCGTCTCCTTCCGTAAAATGCAGCTAATGCTGCCTACCTCATTTAATCACAGCCGCAAAGCATTTTGAGAGCCCTGGATGGAAGATGTCAGAGAAGAGCAGAGAATCTTCCTCCTCCTTCTCCCAACAGTTCTGCAGCTACAGGTTTTGGCCAGGGTGGCAACAGGAGGGCTGAAATACCACGACAAAGCCTCTCTCACACCATCACTGGCCAGCCAGACCTGGGAATCTGGTTTGGCATGGAGATTTACTCCCCCAGGAACCAAAAGCCTCCATCGACCTGAAGACAAACTTTTCCCCAGATGGCACAGAGGGCTGATTATATGGACTCTTGCAGCGTCTTTTTCAGTTCAGGGCCCGGAGGCTGCTGGGCTGTTCAGCGATACACAGCTGCTCTCTAGGGGAATGCGCTTTATAACGTGGGACACTGGCGTAGCACCCTCACCTTGGAAGAGCTTAGCTGTGCCTTTAGTGACGCATGGTCTGAATGCAAGTTCATTTATTCCGCTTTAACCCGGTTTCCATGTCCAAGCGTTCCGGACAGGGCTGCGGCAGAAACTCACAGGCCTAGCCCCTCGAGGACTTGCCTGTTGCTAGCTAGAGCCAAGTCTGCGTGCAGAGAATGAGCTAGTTGCAGGACATGCAGATTTCCCACAGCTGCAGACATCTATTTTTAACCACCTGTATCCACTTGACTACTTGGGAATGGAGCCGCGGCTAAAAAAAAGGAGCCGGGCCACTCTGTGCTCCCATGCCTGTGGCTCCCAGAATAGGTCCTGCCGCTCTATCGTACATGGCAGCTGCGGGCAGGGTTACGCTCTCCTCTCTCTCTCTCTCTCTCGAGAAATATACATGGCCTCCCAGCTTGGCCAGCCGTTCCGCAAGACCGCATTAAAGCGGCTGTCCCAAAGCACCCTGCTCACGGAGCCCCACAGCTTCTGAACAGCCAGCACTCCCATGTGCAGACTCTTTTGGAAAGCCAGTCCCCCCCACCCCCCAATTCTTAGTTGGTTCATCCCAATCTGTTAGGCCTGATAATTAGAACAAACAATTCCAAATAAATAAGAGGAGGAGGGGGCCAGCCTGAAGAGCCATCTCCCAATTAAAACAGGGGCTCCCGGCACTCATAACTCAGGCTTTCCAGGAGGAATTCAACACATTAAGCTACACTATCCTCCCAGCCGCATGCTGCTCACGACACCCAGACCCACTTACGCAGGGATTTGTATCAAAAGCCCAGTAAAGGTCCCTCTGCAGGAGATACACAGAATATGATCTGCTGCTGTCCAACACATGCCATGGGACACTTATGCAGAACGGCCATGTCCCTGGCATTTTTCCCCTTTGTAATATTATAAACGGGATCCGGACCTCATGTTCTCCTGACAGACACCAGCATGAGCGAGGTCAGAACCAGACCCTGTGCATTTCTCTGAAGTAGGGAAGGGTTTAAAAAGGTTACTTTACAGAAGTTTTGGATCGAAAATATGAAAAAACAAAATTAACAAGCCCAGTAGGAATATTTAAAATAAAAGCCGGTGCTCGTACAATAAAATGCCTTTCAGTCATAGATCATATTGCACAGACCTGGAACCTGAGGTGCAGAGGGTTATGTGACTTGCTAAGGAGCTGGGAATTAGACTCAAGTCTAATCAAGAAGCTAACAGCTGTCAGTATTCTGGATCCCTCTCAGTCAGGATGGGCCAGGGCATGGGTCAGACATAGCACCTGGTAAATGGCCTCCTCCCGCTCACTGACAGGGGAATTCCAGCCAGTCAGCTGGCTGCACCTCTCTGCTGCATTTGACTCACTTGCCATTCGTCACCAAAGACACTTCTCCAGCCTCCAAGAAGTTGCAAAGGTGCCTGGAAACACTTGAAAATGGCTCAAGTCCTTCCTCTCAGACTGAGCTCACAGGGTCATCACGGACCCCTCCAACCTCCCCACCCCTGCAGTCTCAATCCTCTCCCGCATTTTATTCCAGGTCTACAGGATGCTGCTGGGAAAATGCAGGCTGAATGCACAGACACCGCCCAGCTCTACAGCCAATGCAATCGGCACCATCTCCCAGCACTTAGCTACAATTAGCAGCTGGATGGAAAGCAGCAGCCTCGAACTGAGCCCTGGCAAGACTACGGTGATGCTAGGAGGAAGAGGGAAGCACTTTAAAGAACTTGCTTCTTCTGCTTCGAGGGCACCTGCTCTCAGATTGTTAAGGCTGTCCACAGCCTTGGGTCCTTTGAGAGTCTTCAGCTCAGCTGGAACCCGAAATAGCCACGACAGCAAACACTGCCCACATCCATCTCTGACAGGCCAGAAGATCACATCCCATCCTATCGGGCACAGCCTGGCAGCGTCCACGCTAACCCTTCAGGTTCCATCACTGCTATTCCTTAGGTCTAGGAATGATAACCTGGAAGAGCTCCAGCTAATACAGCCCATGTGCTTAGTAACAAAGGTCGCCATGAGGAACCTGGTACACCAACTCCTCACAAATATGGAGCTCAGTTTCGAGGTCTCTGTCCTGATATTCCAACACCCTATGAGACTGGCCCCATCACCCTGGGAGATTGCTCTCCCTCTGCAGGCAGGCTGTCCCACGACAGCTACATGCCATGGAGCAATGTAACCGTTGACTTGCACCTGTCCACGCTAGGAGCACTTTACCAACAGAGGCACATGCCCACTTCCGATTAGCCAGACAGCAGAGGGGACATGGATTTTATTTGGATACTCGAGAGGGCAAAAGCCATTCAGCCATTCACCAGCACATTGGCCTCGCCCATGGGGCTCATCCTCCTCTTCCTCACAGTCCCGACCAGGACTCTGCTCTGCCCCGCCAAAACCGCAGGCTTCCCTGCACCTGGTGCCTGCAGGGATCGGGTGCCACCGGCCCTTCGGCAGCACAGGGAGCCCTCTGCCGCTTCGCTGTCACAGCCCTGCTCACTCACTCCCGTCACAGTGGGGCGGCAGAGGGCTCCCCGAGCTGCCACAGGAACCATTCAGCAGCAGCGTGGCCTCCCCCGCGGCCGGGGTCTCCTCTTGCCCCCACCTCCCCCTCACAGTCTTGGCTGGGGGTCTGTGCTCTCTTACCCAAACCTCCCCATTATCTGACCCCCTTCCTCGTCCCCCACCATCAGGTCGGTGGGGGGCAAGGAAGGGCTTCAGATAATGCAGAGGTTCAGACAACAGGGTTTCGGGTACATGGCAGCATACTGTACTCTACTGCTACAGCGCTCCCAGTGTGGACGCAGCCTCTACCAGCAAACCTGGGCTTTTACCAGCCTGGTTTATTCCAGCTGCCCCACACCGGGAAGAGGGCAGGTCTGCCAGAACAATGCGTCTACACGAGGGGCTTCTGCTGGCACAGCGACATCGGGCAGAGGATGTCCCCTCACCAACACAGCTGTGCAGACAGAGTTCTGTACGTACCCACAGCCGTCGAGTCCCCACCATTCATTCCTTCACCAGCACAGACAGAGAACATCTCCAGCCACATTCTCGATCCGGAGATACATTAGAATGGGTCAGACAACTGACTTCCCGCCCAGTGTCTTATCCACTGCAGCACGGGGCCTCTCTATGTACCTGACCCCAAAGGCTGGCTCCAGTCTGCGGCAGAGTTTCATGGTGAGGGCGACATCACCAGCAGAGAGCATGCTGGGACACCAGAGTGTGCAACGAGACGGACGTGGCAGTCAGACAGCAATCTGTTCACATTGCACTTGGGGCTCTGGTTACCTGGGAAAACTTATTGTTTGAGGTGAGCAGTTTTCCCCTCCTTCTTCGGGGGCACCACAAAAGCAATTTAATTCAGCCTCCAGTTGCTGCAATACAGAGGCAGGCAGGTTTGGGACCCCAGCGTCCAGCTGCACAGTCGGACTTACCCGGCATGCTGCTTTCACGGCTGGGCGGGCTCTGCACCACAGGGCTGCAGGACAAGCTAGTCAGCACCATAGCTGCCATCATCTCGTCCATTTCCACAGCAGCATCGGACTTCCTGCGCCAGGAGACAGAGAACCATTAAAGACTTCAGTGGGGGAGGGGAAGGCAGATATTCAGGAGACAAGGCGAGGATTCTATTTCAAAGACCCCATATAATCAAAAGGGCCATGGGAGCAAACACAGAGCCCAAAGGTGTTACACTTGGGGCTGATTGGACCCACGGGGTTCTAATGATCATTGCTGCCTTTGGGTACCTCCTTCCTTTCTACAGGACCCCAGCGTGCCTTCCTGTATATAGAAAGCACAGCACCCATGCGAGAGCCTTATGCTGACGGCTAGGATGGGGACTGGGTGGAGAAATGCTACCTGCTGCATCCGCCCCCGCAGGAAGGGAGCTTCTGGCAATGAGACAGGAGACCCTCAAGAGAAGACATTTCCTTGAGGCTGCTCTTTAACAGTGGCTGCAGCTTCTCGGTGGCCTGGCCCTGAGCTCCCCATCTCTGCCAGGACTCGCTCCCCCAGTCCCATGTGGCAGCAAGGCCGGCCTGTGGATCTCGACTCACTCTGTTACCCATCTGGAGTCAAGCCCAGATCCTAAGAGGAATTTAGATGCCTAAAGATGGCAAGAGACATCCAGTGGGATTTTCAAAAGTGCCTCCCAGTGCATCTTTAACCACCTAAATACCTTTAAAAATCCAGCCCTGAGTCCGAGGTGTCTGTCCCTCCCCCAGAACCCCAGCAAAGCGAGCACCTGGGTGGGGACACTGCCTACTCACAGCACGAGCTATACCGCTGCTCCCAAACTCATGCTTATGAAGGCATCAGTGCAGCACAGACCAGGGAACAGAGGCTGGGGCTCGGGAGAGACCTTTGTATTTAACGGTTTAAGTGGAAGTCAAAATTGAGGATTATTGTAGAGGTACGTGAACAGTGGCTCTGGGGGTAAGAACTGCTCCACAAAATGACTAGGGCCTCTGTTTAAATTATCAGGCATTTACACAACCACTGTAGCAACATGTTGCCCCTAGCGCCACAGAGAGGCCAGGGTTCAGAAAACAATCCAGCTGTCTACGGTTAGCGGCGGCTAACTTCCTCTGCTTCCAAGAGGTTCCCTTGAAAGTCACCCATCCAACCACTGATCAGACCTGAACCTGCTTAGCTTCCCAGTCCTAAAGTGTTCACACACTGAGGCTGCATGGCTCACCACATCTCTCTTTCCCCCTGTAACCTCTCCCCACTCTGCTGTCCCCGGGGCCAAACAGGACCAGAGCGATTTTTAACTTGCAACTAGGGAAGTTTGCTTTAAAAGAGAACATTTTTTTTCTCCTAAACCACCATAAAAATATCCTCTTAATCCTAAATTCAACAGCACTCTGGATAATCCACCCTTTGGAGAGGCTGACACAGTATGTCACAATGACGTGGTCTCATCTCGCGTAGGAACAAGGCAGAGGTGGGAGACGGTTCATTTCTCATCACACACTGAAACAAACAGCATTTTACTGCTCTGGGTAAACAAACACTAAGGACCATTCTAGAATTAACGCCTCTGCATTATTTTGAGCTTCCAGTGCAATCTAACAGCTCCTCTGCAGACTCCTGCTAGATTTTTACTACGTCCTCCCAACCCAGGGGACTTTGTTTCTATTTTAGCCATAGTGACACTGAGCAGAACCAGAATTCAGCATCTCACATTTTATGTAGCCACTGTTTCCAGAAATATGCTTTATACTATAGGATTCCAGGGCATTTTATAAACTATACACAGGGATCATTTCACCCCCGCATGGAAATGCGGCCACCTCTGCAATAGAATCCAGCCGCTATTAAACAGCTCTCAGCAACACTACATACTAGTTTAGAACAGAAAGAGAAGAGGGATTCTGTAAGCAACCAGTGCGCAAACCCAGCTGTTGAACCAGGCAAGATGAACCAGAATCAGTCTCCAAAGCTAAAAGCACCAAGCAGCCAAGGACACATACCTTTTAGGTACATCGATATTCCTAGAAACCGATCTCTGAACTGATCCATTGGCAGGACTATGGTCCATCGCAGTGGCAGGACTATGGTCCATCGGAAGGGTAGGGGGCGGCGATCTTTGCATCTGAGCCAGTCTCACATCCTCTGTCTTCCAGCAGGTGTGCAGTCCCTGCTCAAGGAGCAGCACCTTCACCTCATCACTCAGCTGACTGTGTTGCTCTACCAGGCCAGTGCACTCCTGCCCGTTATAGGTGACGTAAACCTACGTGAGGACAAGTCACAGCTGGTCAGTGTTACTCTCCATCCTTTAAACAAAATCCAGCCAAAACTCACCTGCCCTGTCTCTGAGCACCCTCCTGTGCAAAGCCCCAGTTGCAAGGATTCCATCACCGGGAATAGCATAAAGCCAGGGTTTTTCCTTTCCACCAGTTCAGCACCCCTATCCTGCACCACCACTCTGAGTGAAACAGTATTAGCAATTGTCACCCATCTCAGGACTTTCTCCACTTGCCTGTTGGGACTCAAGGGTCCCCCCTCAATATATGGTCATGGCTGATGCAACAGAGCTGCAGCAGGATATCACTCCATGTGATCAGCAGCGTTAACACAGGGACTCCCCAAGGGGGTAAATACAAAGGCAGTGGCACTCCTCAGAGACCCTGTGGAATAACGAAGAACTGGAATGCTCCCACTGAACCCAATGGAAGTTTTGTTGATTTGAATGGGAGCAAAATTGGGCCCCAGCAGGTCAGATTTCAGCCAAATTTAGGTTTTTGCAACAACAAAGTTTTATAAAACTTACTAGCAACATTCCCATGAAATTAAAAAAACTCAACAATATTGCAGTACTGTGCTGGGGCATGAGACCAGGAAAGGAAAACAGACTAGAAACAAACAATAAAACTGACAAGTCTGCTTTCAGTTGCCAGACTGAGTGAAATCTAAAATGCAAGGCCAGGAGAAATGATGAAAGTCAGTTAGATTTCTTTACTTCTCAGTTTCAACTTTTGAAGATGTTATTAGAAACATGGGAGAGGATTTTGATTAAAAAGGATTTTCAACTTGAACAAGGTCCCTTTAAACTCAGCTGGACAAAGGTGTGTGGAATACAGTGTAAAACACAACTTCCCAGGGCTAGAGGAGATTTACAAAGAAATTGTCTGAATCCCTTCATTTCAAGCATAGAAACATTGTAAGGACCATACACACATACCATTGCCCTCTACTGGTTGCACTCAGAACTGCTCAGCTGTGTGTCAGGCCATATATTGCTAAAAGGAGATTCTTGATTAGCCCAAGTATCAGGAGGAGCCCGAGCCTTTAGGGTGTCTAACCCCCATTATTACCAAGAAGTTCCAACTGGCCGTGTTATTCCAAGCATCAGTGACAACCATGCTGTCCTACAAGGGCATGGATTTTTCATAATGCAAAGCCAAACTTCAGTACAAAACGGACAGAGTGAACAGCTGGGTGCATTCAGTACAGAAACACACAGAAAAGAAAGTGGAGGATATAATGCTTGAAGAGACTCCTTAGCAGGGATGGTGGTAACTGGCCCTTTAACAGTCAGAGCAGGACTGCAGGAGTGTGGAGACCCTCCCCCCCACCCCATTTACAGGGTGGCATTCTTGTAGAACCTCCACTATTCAACCCCAGAGCAAAATTCATGGCAGGTGTAAGTGGGCACAACTGCATGGAAGTCAATGGAGTTATACTTGCTTAGGCCAGCAATAAATTTGACCCTTCTAGTCTAATTTTCATTTGCGGGGGGGGGGGGGGGGGGGGGCACAGAGGAAGGAAAATGTACTCTAGCTTCCCCTGTCAACTATCCTCTTAAATGACTGTGCTCTGACCCCCAAAGCAACAGACATAGTAAAAACATTCCTCCCCAAAAGGAAAGAAACCAGCCCCATCCCCTCCCCACGTCACATCCTTGGGTTTCCACTTATCATTATTTGCATTACGGTAGTGATCAGGGTCCCTTGCACTAGGTGAACAGAGCCATGAAGTACCAAACAGTCCCTGCCCCAAACAGCTTACAACGGGGGGGGAGGGGGGGGTGTTATGACAAGACATAGCAGGTGGATGAAACAAAAAGACAGGCGGAGGAGAGAGGAGGTTTCCTTGTTTAAAAACCATCAACTCCTCAGAGGAACAGGACTGATCAACCATTTAAGGAAAGGGAAAGAAAACCCAAGAGCTGAGACATTTCTTCATTTGAGTGAGTGGACAAAACCAATGGAATATGCATCCTCCTTTGCAAGACAGGCAGAGTCTGGCAGAGAAGAGCTCTCATTCATGTCATGTCTGGTCCCCATTCTCAGCTTCTCCACAGAGGAAAGTAGAGGAAATATTCAAACGCTTCCTTTCTCTCAAAATGACAGGTTTCAGAGTAACAGCCGTGTTAGTATGTATTCGCAAAAAGAAAAGGAGTACTTGTGGCACCTTAGAGACTAACCAATTTATTTGAGCATAAGCTTTCGTGAGCTACAGCTCACTTCATCAGATGAAGCGGTCTGTAGCTCACGAAAGCTTATGCTCAAATAAATTGGTTAGTCTCTTAAGGTACCACAAGTACTCCTTTTCTTTCTCTCAGAGACACCCAATGACCTAATAGGCTGCTTCTCCTAATGTCTAAATGTGTTTTTATTAAGGTAAATATATCTGTGCTGAAATATAGCACACTTCTGCAGGTTAGCGTTCGTAGGTATTTATAGGGACATGCACTCCTATACCTAAATACCAGAGGTGACGTGTGGACAGGCCTGTATATGATGGATACATAAATGCACAGTGCTCTGAGGCAGAGAGAAAATGTCTCAGCTGACACTGGATGCAGAAACCAAAGCAGAGAAGGGATGTGATTTGCCCAAACTCAAAGAGAGCAGCTGCAGCAGTGTAGGGATTAGGACCCAGGAGCTCCTGACCACTACACCCTGCTTCTCTCCAAGAGTATCTTTGCAGACAATAAAGAACGAGGCTCCACAATGAACTACGCCAGCGGGCTCCCCAGACCTAGACAAGCACTGAGCAACAGAACACGTAAGCTCGAGCATCTGCTGAGGCTGCAAAGCAACCAAACACAAAAAAGTCATCTGTCACTGGTATGTAAATACAGCACCCCACTCCCAATGACTATTTTTATGCTGCTTCTAGTGTGAAGAACAAAAAAGCCCAACACTGATGTGTACTGGAGAAAACAGCCCTCACTGTCACGGGGTTAAAAAACGTAGAGCAAAAGGAATCTGGCTTCTCTGTGAGCTTGCAGGACAGCTGTGTGTGCAAGCCAAAAAAATCAAACGAGGGCCTTATTGACACTTTGTTCCAGGCAGAACTCAGGGGCCCTGGTGGCACATCAGCAGCTGCCCCGCTCCATTCGGACAGCCACACTCCGAGACCTTTTACTATTACTTCCTAACTGTCAGGGTGGTTAAGCACTGGAACAAGTTGCCTAGGGAAGCTGGGGAATCTCCATCACTGGAGATTATTAAGAACAGGTCAGACAAACACCTGTCAGGGATGGTCTAGAATAATACTTAGTCCTGCCATGAGTGCAGGGGACTGGACTACATGAAACTATGGAGGTCCCTTCCAGTCCTACATTTCTAGGATTCTGGGAACAGTAATCATTCCTATACCACTGAAGATAGATCCAGTGCTCTGCAAAGCACCCTACCCCTAACAGTGTGCAATCTGTCTACTGTACTGACCCTCTAAGGGCCTCCACGCCCCTGAGCACAACCAGGGTGGAGGGTACTCAGCATGGGCAAGGCAAGATGCCACACATCTCTGCCTCCTCCTTATCCATGAGAGACAAGGAAGACAGGCGTGTGACCCTGGCTCTTACAGTCCCTAGTCTCTCTACTGAGGCTGCCAAAAGAAGCCAGTTAGTATCTACTGAGCTGCTGATGGAGACGCTTGTCTACTGGGAACCCACTAAACTCATTCCACACTGGCTACCCAACAGCTAGCAGATGCTAATGACTTGGTAATTACAAAGCTAGGCCAGATTTGAGCCAGCAACTCAATTGTAATCCCTGAACTAATGCAGTTAGACGCTTTCATCCCATTTCCCATCCCCTGAACCACAGAGGGCATGTCTTCACTGCAGAGTTAGCCCCTCCTGCTGGAGCAGCCCCCCCTGCAAAGCCCTACCCGGGTCAGACCCATGCGGTTGCATCCACAATGGTGCTGTAGTAGCCCGTGTGCTGGGCTGGATTTTCTAACACGATATCCCATGGCTCTCACTGGTGCATTAAACTGGGCCAACCCAATGAATTCACTCGCAGTGTATTGTGAGAGAACTTGTCTGTCCTTCCTGGGCTCCCAGGAGAGAGTGCCCTGATGAGTCTTACTGGCATCGCACCACAGCGTTACCAGAAGGCTGGTCACAGCTTCTGGCCAACTGGCAGCGTGGGAGATGGATTTCTTGGCTGGCACCTCTGTCCAAATGCTATGGAGGTACAGCAGAAATGGAGCAGGCAAACTGGGGGGTGAGGGGGCTAAGACCCAGTGACGAAGAAGGGAGGAGTTCAACAAGAAAGTACAGCCCAGGTGGCACTGTGGGATAGGACTGGAGGACTAACAGCACCCTGGCAAGCCCATGTTTTCACTGCATAGAGGGTGGTTGCCAGCTTGGAAAGTGAAATGCTAGCTCAAGCCTAAACCACCCTCAGTGATGCCTGCTAGCTTGTGTTTAGAGCACCCTCAAGCCTGGGCCAGAGGTTCTTATGTGTGGACAGAAGGGGGAGGCTACAGCCCAGGCTAGCTCTGCACTGAAGCCAGACCCACAGTGGACTGCACCCAGGTTCAAGGGATTAACACTGCCGGTCAGCACTGTACAAACAGCCTCCTTACGTACTCTTTGTCCTGGGTGGAGCTGTAAGCGGTTCAGGTTTGGGAAGCTGGGATTCGTGCTGCTCTCCTCTGCCTGCTCCGTGCACCGACCACCCTCATACGAAGCCAGGTGGGAAGACACTCTGCTGAGCTCTGCCTGCAACGTGGGGATCTGGGCCGTCCCCAGCATCCTGTCTGCCAAGGAGCTGGGCGTGGAAACACGGGCGCCCAGCAGGGAGCGCTTCCCCAGGCGCCTGGACAGCACGCTCGCCATCTTGACACTCTGTAAAGGAAAAAAAGACAGGTGCTATTACCTCCAGTGCAAAACACAAACTGCTCTGCATCTGGGGTGCTGGCGAAAGGTACTGGGCTGAGAGTGCCCTGAACTCCTCCAGCGGCACTGTCTCGTGCTCAAAACAGTGGGCTGGGAGTCAGGAGGCCTCATTTCCGTGACTGGCTCTGATGGGACACTCACTGAGCCAGCCTGGCCACGTCCCTACCTCTCTGTGCTTCAGTCTCCCCCATCTGTAAAACAGAGATCACACCACTGACCACCTGCCAAATGGAAAGTGCTTCGAGATCCTTGGCTGGAAGGAACGATGCCTCCACACAAAGCGCTCGTCACAGCCCATTTCACAGCCTTTTGAAAAATCACATCCCTCCCCCTCGCTGTTATTTCTCAACCTCTTCATTGAACCTGGACCGACGTTCCTTCCCTCCCGTCCTGCACACAGTGGAAGGAGGTCCCGTGGTTAGGGCGCAAAGTGGATAAAATCAAATATTTAAAAAACAACACAGATTTATGTCAATGAAGTTTTTTTAAAAACCTTATTTAAAATTGAATTTGAAATTGAGACAAAACCCTGAACTTACAATACAGCTATTAAAATCACTGACATTAATTAAAAAAATACTGTTAAGCAGAACATCTGCTGCCAAGTTTTAAAGAAAGGGAAACCACTGAACTGGTGGGAGTCACTGACTAAGCACCTGGAACCGGAGTTTAAAGTGCTAAACCAGCTTCTGACAACAGTGGCCTCTTCCGCAGGTTCAGTGAGAGAATATATTCTTCTCCATTTATTCCACTAGTTCATTCAAAATTAAGAAACCACTTGGGAGTTGAAAAAGCAGGAAAGCTTGTTGTCCACTTCCAATCTATGAACAAAAGCAAGGTGTAAGAGGATGAGACCTACTAGTTCTAAAATTCTGAAGGATTTTGTGACCTAGAATCAATTCAATTCAGTAACTACAGAAAATACCTCCTTAGTTTTATAGTCAAAACATGTTTTAATAAACGTTTTGTCTTATCTATCATCATGTCAAAGGTAGTTATATTTAACTAAACAAATACTTTTTAAAATGTTTCTGTGCATTTTAATTTCCATCCAAATAGAGCCCAACATAAATCACAAGTAAAAGATTAATCAAAGTCTTGTAAAGTAGAAATGCATCATACACAATTTGCTAACTATTTTAAGTCTGAATAAACATAAGTTACATAACTGCTTGAATGAATGTGTATAGATACAGTGTACCATCCCGTTAGCAAAAAGCACCACCAAATTTAGTGTAAAAGCTATAGTCAATTGCAAATCAACATGTTTTAATGGTTACCAACTAATGAGAATCAACCTTTCTTTAGGAAATTAACTAAAAAGTACAAATGCAAAACAAGATTAAAATTGTGGATTTAAATCAAGGTTTTCTGTTTGCTGATTTAAATTATTATTAAAGTCAGTGATTTAAATCAATCCACCCTGTTAGAGCACTAGCTTAGGACTTGCGAGACCGGAGTTCAATTCTCTGCTCCATCAGACTTCCCATGTGACCATGAGCAAGTCAACTAGCCACTCTGTGCCTCAGTTTCCCCGTCCGCAGAAGTGCTGCCCTGCCTCACAGGGTGTTGTGAGGATACACATATTAAAGACTCTGAGGTTCTCTCATATCTACTGACGAAAAGCACTATAAATATTATTGCTATTATCGGAAGGGTGCACATGAGGGCTGAGCAGCACAGGGAGGTATATTATCACAGGGGGACACACGAGGGCTGAGCCAACACCCATGGGTATGGTACTGTGCGGTGGCCTATGAGCACTGGGCTGCAAGCACCAATTTATCTTGTTAAACCAGGAGCAGGAGCCCAGGCTTTGGCCACATCGATCATTACACGTCAGTCTCTTTGGGTGGCTGCCACCCCAGGAATATCAGTAGAGACACTTTTAAACCAATTGCATTGTCCGAGGCTAATGGGAATGCACCACGGGCAAGTTTACAGCTCCAGCAGACAGCTATGGTTTGCTCTGAGGACATTCATCAGTTGTGGCAGTATCGGATCCAGTGGGCTAAGGGGTTTTACCCTGGCTGTCAGCTCAGCTGCCACTAAATCAGGTTCTACAGTCCATCTACAGACAAAGACAAAGCCCTTTGGGGATTCAACAACGATCCACAAAGCCACATAATGCACCCAGACTGTGCTTTACAATACGTAACAGGGAAGCCCAGCAAAGCAAGAACAATTAAAGCTTAAAAAATAGACAGGAGAATCCAATGTTACTCTTACTACACCTACCACTGCATTTGCTGCAAACCATGGTTTTCTAACAGCCACCTCTGATCAGATTCCCCTCATCTGAACCTGTTTAACCTGTAACATTCCTGTGGGTGTTCCCCCCCCACCCACTGAAATGATGTTCCCAGATGGATCTTCCAAATCGACCTCATCTGCTGTTCACAGCTGTGGCCCAGCAATATTCGTGGCCCTGGAGAGCCAAACATCATGTAGAGAACAGCTAGGAAGGCTTCCCACACACAACCTGCAGCCCCTTGCTATTACAGACCTGGCCCTCCAAAAGAGACTCTGCCAGTGCACCTCAATCGGGGGCTCCCCTCAATTCCGCAACATCCACTTGCCAGTCCTGGGCACAGGGAGACAGTGGTGCCTAAAGAAACTGACAAGCTCATGAAGTGGACAAAAGTCGTCTCTCAGGATATCAAAGATCCACTTTATTCCACAAATAAATTAGTTAGTCTCTAAGGTGCCACAAGTACTCCTTTTCTTTTATTGCTCAAGTAATCCAGATTCCAATTAAGGACTCCAGATGCAGAAGAACTGTGCCCGAATGCGCCACTCCCTCCTTAGCACTATTACCTCATCTCACTCTCGCTTGTGTGTTCCTGGTTTAGGGTTCAAGTTCCCACAGGCAACACTTGGGTTTTTTTAGCCTTTGGTACCTCTACTAACCCACACAGTTAAGGTGGCAGCCAGTCCACCCAGAATACATGCAGCAGTCTCAAACCACTGGATCAAGAGAACCATGGAAATTGGTGATGGCAAAGTTCACCTGCACACTCTCTGCCAAGGCAGGGCTGTCCCCTCCAGTACCCTGTCCAGTCTAGTTTTAAATGATTTGTGCAATGGGGCTTCCACCCCTTCCTTACGGGGACTATTCCACAGGCCTATGGAGCTTTGCTCTGCAGGCCTGTGTTATAGAGGTCAGACTAGCTGATCACAATGGCCCCTTCTGGCCTTAGAACCCATGAATTCTATAGAAGTTTTGGGATATACGGCCTAAATTTTCCTGACCTAATTTCCAGCCCACTCCTCCTAGTTATATCCCCTTGGTCCGACCTAAGTAAATCCTTGGGTTTTGCAGTTACATACCTCTACATTGCCAAAAGACACATACTTAACCCTTTCAGCCTCCCCAGCCCAGTGACCGCTTTTGCTGCTCTTTCCTGAATTCCCATCCATTTGCCAATGTTTTTCTGGCCGGGTGGTGCCCAAAACTGCAGACAGTCCACAAGGTGAGCGCCCACCAGACCCGTCAAGAGAGAAACGATCACCTTCAGAAACATCACATTAGGGCTGGCACTTCTGCATCCTTCAGGAATTCCTTTCCTCTCCCTTCCCTACCTGGGAGGAACAGGCGTTTCAGCCAGATGCGTTTTCCAGGGTGGGATTCCTCTCACACGCTCATTGGGTGCTGCCAGTCCAGTAGATTCTCTCCCTGATGATGAATGCAGCATTCCGGCACTGGACTATAATCAATAACTAAATGTGTAGTTCCCTCCTAAAGGCCGTTTCTTCCCTTGATCTCTGTGCAAAACCAGCCACTAACACCAGTGAGCATGCACACATTCCTAGACTTTAAAGCCAGAAGGGATCTGACCTCCTGTATAACATAGGCCAGAGAAGATTCCCTCTGCACTGCAGTAAATATGTATTTTTGGATGTGCACCATGGCCCACAGACCATAATTAAACACAACGCTTGACCCACAAGTCCCAATGAATTTGACACCTTGGCCAAGACTCTAGTCAGACTAGGACACAAAGTTCCAACTATCCTCCTACACCACTGAAACAGGTGGATTGGTCTTAGCATGCAGAGGGAGAATCAGTGTTCTAATGTAACTGAAGCTTTAAATCCACTGTCAAAAGCTTATTCTTTCACAAAGATTCACACTGTTCCCCTTGAAGTCAACAGGCATTTTGGCCACAACCTTCAGCGGGAACATGATCAAACCCTCAAAAAGGGCAATTAAATCTAAACTGTGTCATTACCGCCCCCTCCCTGCAAGGCAATGTTGGCTCAACAATTTAAACTTGTTTAATAATCATAAAAAAAAAGGAGGGGGGGAAATCTAGAACTCAAGAAAAATAAAAGTGCAAAAAAAAAATACATTTCTCAGGGTTGTGCCTTTAGGACTTAAGAGAACAGATGATAGGAGGAAAGAAAATAATAAAGGAGAAAGAGTTACACAAAGCTCTGAGATGAAGGAAGAAAGGGAGCATGGTGTAGTGGTCAAAGCACAAGACGGGAATCCAGGAATTCCAAGAATCTAATTCCAGCTCTGACACTGACTTGCTATGTAACCTTGGGAATGTCACGTAGCTTCTCTGTGATGGTGTTCCCTCACCCATAAGCCTTGTGAAATGGGTAAGAGTCCCATTAGGATATCGGTAAAACACGTGGAATGCTGGGTTATTAATGAAGTAGCCATGTCTTACCACTCCACTTTATTTGGTTAAAGCACCATTAGGAGCATTTTTCTTCTCTCTTGGTGACATTAACACATCCACAGTAATTTTTCTTAGGCTTTTTTCTAAAATTATTTCCCCCCCCTTGAAAACAGGCAGTGATGGATTTTCCCTTTTGACTGGTGCATGTAGCAAGTACATAAAGAGAACTTCTCTGTCTGGCTTTTCCTATTCCTTTAGATTTGCATGTTTTTCTGTTGTAAAAATATGGGTTTTCCTAAGAGCAAGGAGAATTCATGCCAAGGGAGGACAGACCTTCCAAGTTTACGCATAAAGAACCAAAAAGAGAGAAAAAGACTGTAACATGCACTGTTCAGGGTAAACAGTGTTATAGTAATACTTAGCACTCTTCATCTTCAAAACACATTACAAAGTCACAGTGCCCTATTTTACAGATCGGGAAACTGAGGCAGAGAGTGGCAAAGTGATTAGACCAAGGACATACAGTGAGTGCGTGCCACAACTAGATTTAGAACACAGGAATCCTGACAACGCTCTCCTCTAGCCCCCCCCACACAGTTCTATGCTCTATCCACTAGGCTTTGAGCGCTTGAATGGAGTAGAGAAGGGCGGCTGCAAGCAGTCAGATGGAGCTACCGGCACAGGGCCGGCCCTAACTTACAGCAGTGGAGGATAGGACGTAGGTCTGCTCCACCTACCACACTCCCTCCCGCCCGTGCCCCACCTAGTCTCTCTCTCCTTGCATCAAGCATAGGCAGCAGGGCTGCCTCCATCAGCAGGGAGTTCCCCTGCCCACAGAGAATTCTCCACCGGTTGCTTTCAGGCCACTCTGTGCGGCCTGTGCAAAGCGTCCTCGGCAGACCTGAGGACCCGACCTGAGCTAGCTCTGCTTGAGCTAGTGCACAAAACACAGAAGCGTGGACACTGCAACACAGACAGTGGCTTCCACCCAAGGGGTTTGGCAGGCTTGGACTTGAGTGACTATCCTGAGGTGCCATCTGTTCTGAAACGCCCACACTGCTATATTTAGCACACTAGCTGAAGCAGAGCTAGCGAGAGTCTGTCTGCCCGGGCTGGGAGGCACGCCCCCAGCTCCAGGACAGACGTACCCAAAGAGACTTGCCCAAACTCACACTCTGTAG